AAAGCCACATTTTGTTGAAGACTTTCACCATACACACATCAGGACAATTTACGTGAAAAAAAATTACAAGGGGAAAACCAACATTTATGCTGCAAGAAAAGACAGTGCTGGGCAACTAGGAATGGGCAATTAACATTGGCCTAGCGAACCCTCGACTGTGCCTTATTCTATCATGGTATGTGGCTGCACCAGGATTTGTCACCCGTCCCTGAGTTGCCTTTGAACTGAGTGGCTTGCTAGACCATCTCAGAGGGCAGCTAAGAGTCAACCGCATTGCTGAGAGTCTGGAGTCACATGTAGGCCAGACCTGGTAATGACAGCAGATTTCCTTCTCTAAATGCAACTGGTGAACCTGGCAAGATTTTACAATCACAAATGACAGTTTGTTGGTCACTATTTCTGAGATAAACTTCCCATTTTAGTTGTTTATTCTTTGAATTTAGATTCCACGAGCTGCCATGGTGGGATTTGAACTCATGTCTGCAGACCATTAATCTGGGCCTCTGGATTATTAGCCCAGTGCCATCACCTCCCTGTAAATAGTCCAACCTGTTTCCCGCGCTCCGAGAATCAGAATAAGGTTTCCCTTGACCTCCCCAAGCTCGCAACCTAACAGCCTCCACACTCAACGAGTCATTATCTCCATGACCATCACCTCCAGTGTAATGCCACAAACAAATCTACTTTCCTCTTCCTTCTCAGTTGAGCATTTGGAACCCACTGCAACAGTATGGCTCCCAACACTTCATCCTGTTCCTTTCCCATGGCATCCCTATAAGGATGCAGGAGCACCCACACCCTTCGGAGTTAAGGGCCAAAACATCTGTGGGAATAGGAACAAGAGAATGAACCAGGCAGTGCAACAAGGAGTCTGTCTGTATTCAAAGTGACGTCAATACAGCCGACTGAGAGCAGGCGATTCTCCACTTCAGGCTGCACCAAGGTAAGAGTTGCAGTTTCTTTATTTGAAAAAGAACTTAAATAATTTTCTCCTTGGCTTAAATTTAGGGTGACAATATTTTAATTCAACGCACAGCTCAGCGGAACTCAACCCCAGGAGTTGCACAGCCTGCTGTGCACAAGAAGTCTTAGACACTTCCAGATGACCACATCTGCAGTAGTATCCCCGGCTGGACCAGCTTGAGGGCCGTCTTTCAGAGTTTGCTGTGCCTCCAGCCAAGACACAGCTCGGCTGAGAATTACTCAGAGAGCACATGTTTAGACATGGTCACCTCCAGCTAAAGGAAGTACAGTTAGGGAAGGAATGGCTAACCACTTGTCAGAAGAAGATAAGCACTAGGTAGGCCTGCTGTAAGGAAAGCCCAGAGTGTACTTCACTCAAGAACAGTTTTTCTGTGTTGGGCAGTTCCTCTGGGGAGTGCAACCAGAACTCAGCTGCGCAAGATGGGGTGAGCAGAAAGGGAGGGAGAACGATAGTGATGGGAGATTCAATAGCGACAGGTACAGATGGGCATTTCTGTGGTGACAGATGTGACTCCAGGAAGGTGTGTTGCCTCCCTGGATGATACTGAATGGCTGCAGTGCATTCCAAATGGAGAGGTGGAACAGTCAGAGATCATGGTTCATACCATGGCTAACGACATAGGTAGAAAGAGGAAAGAAATCCTACAACAAGAATTTAGGGCGTTGGGTAGTATATTAAAAGCTTCTGGATTTGAAATTTTACTTGTTCTGTTTGCCTTATCCCTCAGCTCTTCCATTATCTCACCTCTCCCTCTCCTTTTGTATTGTCCAACTCTTCTCTTTCCTCACCTCTGTGCTTGCTTAAAGCTGGCTACAGCTCAATATCATTTTCCCCAGTTCTAACAAATGAATTGAAATTATGACCACTCTAGATTTAGTTCTCACATTAAAATTAGGAAAACTGTGAAGCATAGATCAACAAAATGTAACTTCATTGATTACCACCTTTCTGAAAAGCATCCCAAATATCATTTCTCCTGGACTTTTCCCCAATGTTTGAACCGCCTGGTGAACAGCATTATGGCGCTCCCAGTTCTTCACCCCATGAAAGGTAAATCAAATTATTTTAAATAAATTCTCATTATTTATCTATGTTCTTTGCATAATTCAGAGATATTAGGGAAGGTGATTATGTCACTGGACTTGTGTAATCAATTAATCCCTGTCTAATTCTCTGGGGACATGGGTTCAAATTCTATCGTAGCAGATAGTAGAATTTGAATTCAATAATAAAATAAAACTGGAATTAAAAAGCTACCTAATGCTGACTATGTAGCCACTGTCATTTGCTATTAAAGTTCCATCTGGTTCTCCAATGACCTCTCGGGGAAGAAATCTGTTGTTTTTACCTAAATGTGACTCAAGACTCACAGCAGTGTGTGGCTGACTCTTAACTGCCCTCTGGGCAACTAAATAACCATTGGCCCAGCCAGCTATGCTCACAAATTTCAAAGATCACTTCTGATGGGGTGGATATTTGCCTCCCCCCCACCCTGGAGGTGGCAAAGGGGTAACTATTGTCCTTGGAGAGATGTCCGGCCCCTTCTTGCCACTCAACAATTAAGTTCTGGGTGAGAAGGTCCATGGGGGGGATCAACTCCACAACTCACCATCAAGTCTTTATTAACGATCACTTAAAGGCCTCAAATCAACAGCAGTCACCTCCACAGGCAAGAAAACTGGGTAGTTCCCCAATGAATAAACCACGGCAGCCTGCCTGCTGTGATTGGTGGGGTCAGCATCGATTACACCAGTTTTTTGCTTCATTATGACATCTTACCTTACGCGCTTCTGTACATCAGAATACATCTATCTGACAGCATTGATAATGTGATCTAGATGCTTACCACAGTTTTTTTGTACATTGATGGAATGAGATGCTAAGATGTTCTGAGCTGGCCTAAAAGAGAACAGCTTCTGACCTGCACTTGTACAATCTACACACAGGAATGTCATCCGGCAGACTATGACTGTGAGCAATGTGGGATCGTAAAGAAAATAGGAACTTGCACTTCCATAACTCAAGACCTTCAAGGAAGGAAACTGCCACCCTTACCTGATTTGGCCTACACGTGACTCCACACCCACAGCAATTTGGTCGATTCTTAACTGCCCTCTGGGCAATAACACTTGGGCAATATATGCTGGCCCAGCCAGTGATACCCACTTGAATGAGGGCAAAAAAAGTCCCAAAGCTTTTACAATGAAAAGCAGCCATCATTGTAATTCAGGAAATTAGTACAGAGGAGGTTGGAAAGGTAGAGAGAGGGAGGTAGAGGACAGAATTCCAAAGGTAAGTGGAAGCACTGCGACATTTCTCAACCTTTGTATAACTGTGCTGCCTATATCCTAACTTGAACAGGTCCATTCACCCATTAGACCTGTGCTTGCTGACCTCCAAAGGCTGACATCCAGTGAATTCTAATCTCGCTATTATCTTGCTTTTGCCCATTCTTGAAACTTGCTTTAAACACTTGGAGGCATGTTTGCTCCTCCAATTTGGACTTCTGCACATCTCCGATGTTAAATCTCCCTCATCATTGGTTACAGTGACTTTAGCTACATAGATCTTTAGCTCAGGCACTTTTTTCTGAAACCCCTCCCTCACCTCCTTTAAAATCATCTCTTTGAACAAGCATCTAATGTTCACAGTTGATTCAGTGTGGGATATTTTTTATTCATTGGATGCGGGCATCATTGGTTGGGGCGACATTTATGACCATTCCTAATTGCCCGGAGGACATTAAGAGTTAACCACATTGCTGTCGGTGTGGAGTTACATGTAGGCCAGACCAGGCAAAGGTAGCAGATTTCCCTCCCTAAAGAACATTGATGAACCGCATGGTGTTTTACAACAATTGACAGTGTTTACATGGTCACCATCAGGACAACTTTTTTTAAATTGAATTCAAATTTCACCATCTGCCATAGTGGGCTTCGAACTCATGTCCACAAAACATAAACTTGGGGGGCAGTTCTGGATTACTAATTCAGTAACATTATCAATGCACCACTGCATCCCAACTTTGTTTGACAACACTCCTATGAAGTATCACTGTTACGATAAAAGCGCAAGTTGTTGGGGGAGGCGATGGCCTAGTTGTATTATCACTAAATCATTAATCCAGAGACACAGGTAATGACTCTGGGACCTGGTTTCACTATGGAAGATGGTGGAATTTGAATTCAATTACTTAGGATCTTAATTCTCTGGAATTAAGAGTCGAATTATGACCATGAAACCATTGTTGGTTATCAGGAAGAACTGTAAAGTCCTTTGGGAAAGGAAATCTGCTGTCTTTACCCAGCCTATACGTGACTTCAGACCCTCAGCAATGTGGTTGACTCTTAATTGCCTTCTGGTCAATAAGGAATGGGCAATACATGCTGGTCTGGCCAACAATGCCCATGTCCCACGAATGAATGAAAAACAGGGCGGCAGCATATAACTTTGTTTCAATTAACACTGAGTACATCTGAAAGGTGTTAAATTACAGCAACTTTATACTTCTAATACTGAAATACCAATTATTCACAGTGTACGTTCAGATCTATTTCTTTTGGTACTGTTGGAAAATGGGTCAAGTAGGAGGAATGACAAACTAAGGATTATAAACCACCTCACTGAAGTCTTAGCACCAAGTTTAGTAGCAAACTAAAGAGAAGCAATTTGTGGAATGCACATTAAGAAGCATTGTGTACATCAGTTACCATGCTGTAACAGAAGTTAGAAACTTAATTATTACATATAACAAATGGTTAACAACAATTCTACAAAATATAAAATAATAACAAGAAATATTGTTAACAGGCTCAAAACTATATCTAACATGTTTGCATGTTATTGCAATGGCATTAATCAACTAACATGCCCTAGCTTGGTGAAGAATTGTCTAATGAACAAACCAAATAGGTCTTGCTTTAGACACTAATCCGCTTCATTACCAAACTGTGATCCAATTAATTTTCAGACTTCTTGTTCGAATTCAGCCTTCTGTTGAAATAGACCAACTCACCACACATTCGTGATCCTTCGTTATCTTCAGCGAGAACTTCGAGGTGAAATCCAGATCTGCAATTCCGACCTTGTTGCAGTCGATCGCCTGGAAAACAAGGACAGTTTTCCAGAAAAGCAGTCATCAAGATGCCAGGACAATAGAGCAAACTGAGCATGCTGGGCTGAAAGAAATGGGATGACGCCTATTCCATTTTCTCTCTCCATGTAACTCCACCTTCTGTTTCTCTGGAGGCTGCTTTTCAAACTGGTCTGCCCACTTTCCAAAAACTAATTCAGTCAGTGCGAGCCAGTTTAGTGCATGATAAAATTCTGACTCTTGATGCAAGGCCACTTAGCAATTCATTCATAATGACCCAATAATCTTCCAACATCATTTTGATGTTCATCAAGTATCTCAAGTCAGAACTAACATTTTTAATAGCTTCCATTCCAGTGCTTGGAATATATTTAATTGATGCACTCCTGTTTAACATTAGTCATCGCACTGATAAATGGAAATTACATCTTTCAAAAGAGCAACAGTAATGAGTATTATTAAAATAATACTTATCACAAAGAAAGCAACTTCATGTAGGCTGCACAATTCACACAGTTTGTTAATAAAGAGTTCAAATCACTTGTACCCCTTTAAGGTATTTTTATCATTTGAATCTCTGTTTCTCACTTATACAAGAACATCCTGCAGATCCAAAGGAATTACCATGACAAAATGCAATCCCAAAACTGACACAAGAAATGGAAACGAGTTGGCATTCTGACTGCTTTTCCTGAATTATACAATGAAGGTCTTAATAGAGTGAGCGTAAAAAGGAGTAACTTACATGCGCCCAACATTCAATTGACCGAAGGGTCTACTATTATTCCTGTTTTCTATGGTTATAACATCATATGAGATGCAAGATGCTTCATTCTACTGGCAAGGAATACCATAAGACCACATGACCATCAGACAAAGGAGCAGAAATAGGCCATTCAGCCCATTGAACTTGCTCCACCATTCAATGAGATCATGGCTGATCTAACAATTCTCAGCTCCACTTTTCTGCCTTTTCCCCAAAACACTTGACTCCCTTACAATACTGCAGAAGTGCTTTCCTGTCAAATTTGTATTCTTATTCAGTTTTGCATCTGCAACTAATATTGTGCAAGTGCCGAAAATATGTTGTGTATATATATATATATAATTCTAAGGTATTTCCATCAGTCAACCGTCTGCTTAAAATAGATTGAAAAGCTTCATTAACATTTCCTCTTCTTACCATTCTTTCGTGGGTTGCAAGTGTTTCTGTGAAAACCGTCACTGATTGCTCGTCTATAAGGGAAGGCAGTGGTGCAGTTGTATTATTGCTGGACTGTTAAAGCAGAGACCCAGATAAAGTTCTGGGAACCTGGGTTCAAATCCTGCCATGGAAGATGGTGGAATTTGAATTCAATAAAAAAAGAAATCTGGAACTAAGAGTCTAATGATGATCGTGTATCCATTGCCAATTGTTGGACAAACTCATCTGGTTCACTAATGCCCTATAGGGAAGGAAACTGCCATCTTTACCTGGTCTGGCCTACATGTGACTCCAGACACACAACAATATTGCTGAGTTTTAACTGCCCTCTGGGCAATTAGGGATGGGCAATAAATGCTGTCTTACCAGCGATGCCCTCATCTCATGAATGAATTTAAAAAAAATTACCCTCAGGAAAGCTGTGGTGGGCCAATTCCTCAAAAATCTACCACATGTGAGGTCTAGGTGTACCCACAGTGCTGTCAGGGTATGGACAGTTCCAGGTTTTTGAACTTCTGGCAAAATGAACCAAACTTCAGAATTGTGACTTACACAAACCGATACTGCTTTTGACTTTGATTGGCAACTTCAAGAATAAAAAATGTTAATGATTGCTGCAGGTGAATAACTTGAAATATGTGATCATGTGCAAAGCTATGTCTTGTCACTGACTCTTGCCCTGTGTTTGTATATTAGCATGTGTCCTGTGACCCTATAGCAAAGATACCATGAGCACTACCTTCTGATCAAGCACAAACTGTACAACAATTAAAGCAATGTTGCATTTGCTGATTAATTCAGAAGTTGGTGAACAAGTTTTATTGATCACAAGAGTGGCTGACTCTTCACTGCCGCGGGCAATTAGGGTTGAGCAATAACTGTTAGATTAACCAACGACACCCATATCCCGTCAATGAATAAAAACAAAGGAAACGGGGTAGGCTGTTTAGGATTAGGAGAGATTTGTTCACCCAGAGAGTGGTGAGCCTGTGGAATTCTAATACGTGTACAAACAGAGACAAGAACAGGTTCTTCCCCGCTGTTATCAGACTTTTGTATGGACCTCTGAAAAGTTAATTCTGATCTCTCTCTCTCTGCACTTTCTCTGCAGCTGTAACACTGTATTTTGCACTCTGCTCCACTATCCTGTTGCACTTTGTATGGTACAATCTGCCTATATAGCATACAAAATAACACTTTTCACTGTATCTCCACACCTGTGACGACCATAAATCAAATAAAATCAAAATGAGTTGAGGCCAATACATTGAATGTTTTCAATAGGATTTAGATATAGTTGTTAGGACTAAAAGGATCAAATGGTATGGGGAGAAAGCGGGAACAGAGGACTGTGAGTTGCACGATCAGCCGTGATCATATTGAATGGTGGAGCAGGCTCAAAGGGCCAAATGGCCTACTCCTTCTCCTATTTCCTATGTTTCAAAGAGCTAGGTTGGGCATGACAGGCTGAACAGCTTCCTTCTGTGCTACATGATTTCTCTTACTATTTTCATTTTTGCAGTCTCATGGTTAAATTCTGTTTCTTTTGGTTTTTAAAGCATTGTGAATCAGTTTAGTCATCACACAGTTTGCAAACACAAGGATGACTAATCGTGCTTTAGATTTATTTTATTTACATATTAAATGAGAATTATAGATTCTTTTCATTAATTGCCTCTATTTGATGCTTAACCTAATGAAATTGGATTTCATAGAACAGTGGAACATTCCCTAAACACATTCAGCGTGGCTGACTGCTTTTCCCAACAGAAATGAAGAAGATTTTACACCAAGCTTTGTGTCATTCAGCAACATAAAGAGCAATGTGGAGTTCCCAGACCATGCCAACAAAAAGCATTAGATTAAACAAATGAAAGCTAAAAATGTATACTCTCACATTTTCTGACACCTTAAGGAGTAGGGGCTTGGAGGAATACAAACAAGGGAAACGTACTTTTGGGCAAGTAAACATTTGAAAGTAGCTGACTTTAGTGTCACTAGCTGACGCTTCATTCATGAGGAAACCACTGTCTGTTAAATGTTCATGTGCTGCAGAGTGTGAAATGGAATCTGTAATAAACTACCCAGAGACCACTACCCATATTTGAACCTAGCCATTGTCTTTTTTAGCAATATTCAGTTAATTTCAATCTGGGTTTTCTTAATGCAAGTTTATCAAGACATGGCTCCAAATAATCTTCAAAAATTGTTAACTTATTGCTCATAAATTTGAGTAAAACTCAGCCTTTATGAAAATTATGCTCTTTTCTCCATTCTTAAACTCATTCATGAAAAGGACAGCACAATGATAGCCCCTTCTAAATCCATGACCTCTAACTCCTAGAAAAACAAGCAGCATAGTAAAGGGGACACCACCCTCTCCAACTTGAAAGCCATCCAGACTTGGAATGATATCGACATTCTTTCATTGTCATTGGGTCAGAAATCAGGACTCCCTCCCTCAAAGTGCTGTTGGTACACCAACAGCACACGCATTGCAACGTTTGACGACAGCACAACGTCACATTTTCAGGGGCAGTTAGGGACTGTCAACAAATGGTGGCCTTGCCAGTGATGTTCACACCTTAAGGACAAATAAAGATGAACCCAAATCCACTTCATGTTAATTTAAACTGCAGTAAAGTACAGATTTGACGATCCAAGAGACAGTGAGTTGGCTGCAATATGTAATTTGATGGGACCAAAATAATCTCATGAAGACAGGCTGGCAATTCTTCCAAATCAACATTGAAATCATCTTCTTTCTCTGCAACCATGTTTTGCAGCGTTAGTCAGTATTGCTCTCCGGCTTTCACCATCTTTTACGGCAGCCAACATTTTGGTTTTGTATCTGTTCTGCTTCTTAAGCCGTCAGTGCATTCAGCCCTTTATCACTTTCTTAAACATTGCTGAACACAGACATGAAGATGAAGCTTCTTATCTTGCACTCAACAGAACTGGGATGCAAGAATCTAAATTTTAAAAGGGAACACCAATTTATACAGCATGGGAACAGCGTGATGAATAGTCGGATCAAGGTTAGCGAAGAGGTGCAGCAGGATCTGTTAATTGTCCATCTTAGCTATTCACCTCAGACCAGGTGAATGGACTGGCCAAGGTGTAGCCATGGGGATTGCAGCAAAGATTGAGAGTGTCCATAACCTATTCTCAATGAAAAAGGTGTAGTATATGCACAAAATACTTCTGCCAACACATGGGTCCTGTTTGTAAGTAAGCATCTCTCATTTTTACAAGTCACTACTAGATCACAGAATGTTACAATGTAGAAGGAGGCTATTCAGCCCATTGTGTCTGCACCAGCTCTCCAGATGAGCACCATGACTTACAGCCAATCTCCTGCCTTAACCCCATGTCCCCACATAGCATTACTGTCCAAGAAAACATCCAATGGCTTCTTGAATGCCTCATTTTAACCTGCCTCGACCACAAATCCAGGCTGTACATTTCAGACCCAGTCATTCATCTCGCATGACACTTGCTTCTTTTGCAACGATGTTCTAGTTTCTCTCTCCCAAACACCCGACTGAGAAACTCTAGTCATCACTTGACAATTATTTGAAAATAATTCTTATGTGTTTGCTTTCCTCATCAGTTGTGATTGTGTGCATATGTGTCAAACCAATCAGAGGCGTAAAAACATCACTGTTGTCTTTATCTTCCATTCTCATAGAATACAACCATAGGCTCTTACAGCAGAGAAAGAGGCCCTTTGGCCCATCATGTCTATACCAATCCTCATGCACCTATCTACTCTTGTCCTATTTCCCAGCATTTGGCCCATAACTTTGCATGCTACGGGGTTTCAAGTGTTCATCTAAATACTTCTTAAACATTGCGATGGTTCCTATCTCTACCTCTCTTTCAGGCAGTGAGTTCCAGATACCCACCACCATCTGGTTGAGAAAATATTCACCACAAATTCCCTCTAAACCTCCTACAGCTTAAAATCTATGACCCCAGTAATTGAGATATTGGTACTAACCATCTACTAAGAGTAAAAGTTATTCCTACTCATCAGGTTGCCCCTCTACTCTAAGGAAAGCAATTCCAACCCATCTTCATAGTTGAGTCACTCCAGCCCAGGCAACATCTTGGTAAATCACCTCTGCACCCTATCTCTAGTGCAATCATATCTGATCTGCAGAGTGGTGACTAGACCTGTACACTGCACTCCAGTATTGTGGTCTACCTAACAGCACAACTGTATACAACTCCATCATAAGGGTTCTGACAAAGGGTCACCAAACTCAAAATGTTCACTCTGTTTTCTCTCTGTTCTGTTTAACTCTCTGTTCCTGTGTAATATCATAGCATTGTAAAATAAAGCAAAGAACCGTGGATGCTGAAGATCTCAAACAAAAAACAGAAACTGCTGGAAAAACTCAGAAGGTCTGGCAGCATCTGCGAAGAGAAAAGAGTTAATGTTTTGAGTCCGGTGATTCTTCATCAGAACATCGTGAAGAAGGAGTTGAAATATTATTTCTGCTTTCACTGCATAAACACTGCCAGGCCATCATAAATATTGCCTTGGTTATATTCCAGTTTTGACGCGTATATAGTTACACTGGCTATATGCAGCATGTTAGTAATTTTCTTCTGTCTTCCACAGACAGATTCTTATTTCTAAAGTGATGTGACATTTTTGTGAAGTTTTATTCTGCAAGTATTGTTTGTTTCCAGAGGCCTCGATTACATTTCCCAATAGATGTTATTCAGGCACCCAGACAGGAAAATGATTCTACGTGCTTTAATTAGCTCGATTTCACAGCTGTTTTGCAACAAGGTGTCATGTAAACCTTTCTTTTGACAGTGCTGCACACACCGATTTATTGCAGTTTGGTGGTAACCTTAACCAAACTAAACATCACCAAAAACAAACAGATTGTAAGTTTGCCTTCCAGAAGAAAAGTGGCTACACTTCAGAAGCCAACCATTAGCTACAAAGCACTGTGGAATATCCTGAGGGTTTGAATATCGACACAATTTCATGCTTCCTTATGTACTGTTTTTTTGTTCATTTGGTAGCCCTCATGGCAGTTTCAGTGAGTCTCTCCTTCACCCCACCCCCACCTCTGTGAATCTGACCAGTTGACTTTCAACTCTTGAATCCAGGCCATGAATCCAAATCAGAAATAGTTGGGATTGGCAACATTTAAATTTAGGGCATTTCACTACCACTCTCCCCTCACCCGAACATCAATCAATGAACAAGTACCCACTGTTTCCTATATTTCAGCTAACTACTTACCCATTGCAGAATTCAGCTTAAGCTTTGTGCTTAACATTATTAAAGACATTTGGAATACCTCTTTACTTATAATTCGAGTACACATGTTGAAATTAAAAATCAATTATAGCATCTCCAAAAGCATTATGTTTTGCCTCCTTGATGGAAGCAACAAATGAATTTATGTTGTGGTTAATGTTTGCTTACTCAGCGTTGATCACAGCACAATGCAATGTGAAAGTAATGACTAGCAAGATATTAACAGGCCGTTTACTAGTTAGACATTACCCAGTGTGATAGCTATTAGCTTGAACAGCAAACTGGTGTGGAATCATAATGATTTGTGAACATGCTACACCATGGAATGTTACACAGTAAATGCCACACAGAGGCAATAGTCTTAACTTAGTTGGATTTAGGCGATGGAGAGGAACCAAAGCCACAATGTCTACATCAAACATAAAGGACAAAATGAGAGGGGTTTAACAAACGTGTTCGAAATACTGAAAGGTTTTGATAAGACTGGATAGAGAGAAACTGTTTAGAAACATAGGAATTAGGAATGGGAGTAGGCAAATTCAGCCCTTCAAGTCCTCCACCTGTTAATGATCATGGCTGATCTTATCCTGGTCTCAACTCCACTTTCCTGCCTGCTCCTCATCTCCGATGATAAACAGAGGACACATGGTTAGAAGATAATTGGGAACAGGAGCGGTGGGAAATGAGGAGGCTTTGTTTTGCTTCACTCAGAGAAGTATGATGAAAATGAATGTGCTGACTGAAAGGTTGGTGGAAGCAGATTCAGTAATAACTTCCAAAAGTGAGTCAAATAATATCTTAATCAGAACAGCTCCCTGATTCTTTAATCTGGTAATGATAACAATGTTTATTCTTTAAATTTGTGATTCATTAATGAATGCTTTTTATAGCCAAGACTGAAAATGAATGAAGATCTTTACACTACCATGCAGTCATTTCAATGTATCTTAAGAAAAACAAACTGCAACATATATCACAAATATCATTTTTTTGAAATCTCAGCTGGCCTCAGTGCAGTGAAAAGCTGCTGTAAGCACAAAGCAATTTCCACATTTATGCTTCATTGATAGTTGTGAAAAAACCTGTTTATAAGACAGAATTTCTGTTATGGGTTGTCCTCCGACACACTCTGAAAGATGACAGATCATCATACAATGCACAAAGCAAGAACGCTGGGACTCAGCAGAGCTTAGCGCTACCTGGCAGTTTATGCTCCAACACAAGATTACAGCGTGGCCCTGATTAATCAACTTTAACCATTCCACTTTCTACCCTGTCACTATCACTCTTTCGTGATCCTAAATATCAGCATTTACTTGCATGCTGCATGAAAATTTGCAATTGTGCCAACAGTGCCTTCAACATTTAATTTGATGAAACTCCATAGCTGACTGACAACACATACCTTGACAATGCAGGGCTCTGAAATAAGGGTGTCAGCGTTTATCACTTCCACCACAGCTTCTGGGATCACTGCCTTCTTCATACAGGACATCTTAAAGCCATACACATCCTCCCAGAAAGCTACTCGTTCATTGTGTTTCTTCCTGTCACCCACTGCTGTCAGGTTAATAGTGCAGATATCAGGGTACACTGAAAGAGAGTAATGAGACCATTAACCCAACTGTGGAGGGAGCGATGTCACCACCAAATTGTTGCAGCACAGAAAGAGGCCATTCACCCCATCACCTGACCCAATGTTAACTCATTGGATTTGGACATTTTCAAAATTATTTGGTCTCAAAACGGAATGAAGCAAATGAGAAACATCTGACGACATGAGGGGAATAATGCCATTGACCATATGGAGAAAAAAACTGAGCCATCCAACACATTTAAAAGGTAAGAACCACAGGAGCAGGGGTTCTTCTCCAAGGATAAAGACACACAGTGTTTCACACTGTTTTACACTCACCAGCAACCCCATTGTTGTCTTCTGCCAAACTCATACAGGTTTTCATCAGCAAAATGGGAGATCTGAAACAATTCTAGGCTTCCCTTACATTTGTGCTATGGATGGATACAGGTCATTTTTTTTAAAAAATCACAAACTAAGTCTGTATTTATAAATCAGTACATCCAGGTTTTCAATGTGGGGACGGACAATATTCTTCACTCTTGGTGCTTTTGCTTCATTGACCTTTAAACTTTCCAACACAACATATTTGTCCCTTCATTTTTACCTTATTAACACAGTAATGGAATAATTATAGCTGCACATGAGCAAAATTAACAAAGCGCTGATTGGACAGGGAGGAAGAGCTCTTCTGGCTACTTGCAGAGATTCACAGAAAGGACATCTGTGTCCTTCTCAATTCACTGCTTAAAGCCACCTCGTTGTTGGCAGCAGCTCACGTGACCGACTAGCAAAATGCAAAGCTTTCTGTATTTTCAGAACAACATGCAAACTGCAGAACATCAAGAATGAATAGAAGCTGGTGCTGGGTGTTCAGAAATGTACACTCGTGTCAGACCCATGATTAGTGCAGTGCAAAGAACACAGTCTTACAGGAATCTTTTTGGGAGAAACAAACACACTTCCATTGTTTTGCATGTTGAGAGATCTGGGTTGCTTTTGCAAGGCTGACTTTTAGAGAAATTCTCTCTATTTTTCAAACGGTGTTAAAGTCCAGCTTTCATTTTGGGAATGAAGATACATTTTAAATGGGTGAAACAAAGTATAACCCCTTTAATACTGACCATGGCATGACACATCCTAGCTAAATCATAATTACAGCTAATGCGATTTTTGATGTTTTCCCCAAATAAAACATGCTGCGATCTGGAGCCAACTAACATTAACTGCTCAAAACCCAGCAGCATCTCACAACTGCTCTTTTCCACCAATAAACAATTGCCTTAGGAAATCAAAATGATGCAGTGCTCTGTTGCAACGAGGCTTTTGAGGCAAGCTAGCTTGTTGATTAGCCAACCTTGACTAATGGATCAACTGACAGAATTCACACACACTGAAGCGATTTCCTCCTCTGTTTCCAATCTCATTTTCATTCTAACAAACTGGGGCTGGTGACTGAATGTAGCTGTTTCTCTTTAAAGAAAAGCGGGTCTCATTAGGTACACAGCATCAAGTTTCCACCCCACACACAGCAGCACTGCAGGGTAACCAACCTTGGTAAAGCTAACCTTACTCCCAGATTGAAATAACCTTACTCCCAGGTTAAAATAATTTTACTCCTATACTGAAATAATCCTGCTCCCAGACTGAAAATTACTGAAACATCCTTTTCCAAAAATGCGATGTCCAATAATGTTCTATTTCTGAACAAAAACAATATAACCAAGCAGGAAAACAGAGCTATAGAGTATCTCGTTGACTGGACGTTTGGTTGACAACCTTGGGCAGGGTTTGTGGAGGTGGCACTGAAAGTAGGTGGGACCTGAATTTAGCATAGCCCGCCAGCATACCAGTCTGCTGCCACTGAGCCAATTTTGAGTAGGACAGGTCAGGGACATAACAGTCGCCCGTGAGCAAGTGGTGGGCAGCCATCTGAGATCACTAAGGGGCTTACTAAAGAGCTGCTCCTGAGGTGATGGGAGTTTGCCAATTGGCAGGTGGGCAGTTGAAACATGGCCAGGGAGAGGAGGTGGGCACCAGGTAGGAGAAGAGGGTGCAGAAGTGGAGATTGGAGGGTTTCAAACCAATGGGAACCCTCCCTCTACAAGTGGATGGTTGCTCCTTGCCAATCATATGTTCCAGTGGAAGTAAAGTGCTATTTTGATGTTGACATGCTCTAATGTAAAAAAACTTCAGTGTATATTTATATATTGTAATAAACTTGGATTGTCAATTTAGCCGAAGCTACATAGACTGCTGGCATAGTGTTTTACAACATCAAAATCAGAAGGAACAGTTGACAATTCATAGTTTTATCCTTACAAACATAGCAAGGTGATAGTGGATTGTATGCTTTGTGTCATGGTATACATGCTCAATATGTACAGTTTTGTGTTATGTGCTTGTACAGGTTAACCAATGGATGTTGACTATTGAAGTGAGTGCAAGTAAAACATGTAGGCTTTAAAAAAAATACTCTTGCAAATAAGAACATAAAACGTAGGAACAGGAGTAGGCCATTCAGCCATTTGAGCTTCCTCTACCATTCAATAAGATCATGGCTAACCTGGGTGTGTTCTCAATTTCACTTTCCAGCCTAACCGTTATAACCCTTGACTCCCTTGACTGTCAAAAATCTAGCTAATTCAGCTTTGAAAAGATGTACAGAGACCTTTTGGAGAAGAGAATTTCATACTTGACCAACTCTCTGTGAGGAAAAACATTCACTTTATCTCTATCTGAAAAAAGGGCATGCCTTATTCAAAGCTATGTCACCTGGATCTAGTTTCCCTTATGAAAGGAAACATCCTCCTCATACCCAACCTATCAAGTCCTCTCAGGATCTTATACATTTCAATAAGATCTCACCTCATTCTTCTAAACTCCACTAGTTATAGGCTTAGGCTGTTCAAACATTCTTCATAAAGTAAGTCCTTGCAAAGGTCTTCTTTCCAAATTTTAAAAAACGTAATCTTTTACACATATTTTACATCACCAGCAATAATCTATACTTGGGGTAACATTAAAAGATCTCCAGAAAGTGAGATTGATTTCAATTCATCTGGATTTCAAAAGCAAGGCCTGACCGGGGGCAGAATAGAAAATGCTTCAAGAGGGCCAAAATTCCATGGAAAAGTAATACAAAGTGCTAGAGGGTGGGGATTAATGGAGCGAAGATGGGCTTATGACTTACACTGACCTTCCTTCCATTCTCAATATTCCCACATTTAGTATTCAATGCTGCTGATTGAACTAGAGATTAAAATTATTTGATTTACTTTCCACTGACGTTAAAGGTGAAGAATTTATTTCTTTACTCAAATGAACTACAAATTTATCTTGCAGAGTAAGTAAATCCAAAGACCAGCATCATTTGCCACCTGATCTCCCACCTTCAACATCCACTCCCTCCACCACGAACACCCAGTTGCAGCAGTGTGTACTATCTGGAAGTTGCGCTGCTGAAATTCTCCAAGACACTTTGGACAGCTCCTTCCAAACCCACAACTAAATCCATACAGATGGACAAGGGCAGCAGATACATGAGAACACTGTTTCACCTGCAAGTTCTGCTCCAAGCCACTCACCATCCTGACTTGGAAATATATCAGCTTCCTTCACTGTCACTGGAACTCCCTCCCTAAGGGCACTGTGGGTCTATCTACAGCACATGGTTCAAGATGGCAGCTCTTAAGGGCAACTAGGAAAGGGCGTTAAATGCTGGTCCAGCCAGTGACACCTACATCCCTTGATCAAATAAAAAAATACCTGAATGATAATTGTAAATACAGTAGATTGTTATAAGTGACATCTAGGCCACTAAGGAACAAATACCTTTAGAGATAACAAGGTGTAAAGCTGGATGAACACAGCAGGCCAAGCAGCATCATAGGAGCAAGAAGGCTGACGTTTCGGGCCTAGACCCTTCATCAGAAAACAAATACCTTTGGTCCACAAGCATTTATTAATCTCGGATTTAAAACAAAAAATTGATTGATATCAATTGAGATTTACAGAAGAGGACTTGTGCATAGAGCATTTTATAATTTTGTTCCTGAACAGTCTGACTCAAATATTCAGACTATTCTCCTGATCCTGGGCTTCCCAAGCAAGTGGAAATAGTTTTTTTCTGCAGCGAACCAATTTAAATCCGTTTTTTTATGTTCTAAAAATATAAAATGTTTTTCGGGAATGAAATCTGTTGCCCTTCCCCATTCTGCCTTATCAGAGACTCCATATCCAGTTCAATGTTTCACTCTTAACTGCCCTCTGAAATAGAACATAGAACAGTACAGCACAGGAACAGGCCCTTTGGCCCATCATGTCTGTGCAGACCGTGATGCACATGGTCCATATCCCTCTATTCCCTGTCTGTTCATGTGTCTATCTAAATGCTTCTTAAACATATCTGCTTTTACCAGCTCCCCTGGCAGCGCATTTCAGGCACCTACCACCCTCTGTATCAAAAAACTTGCCTCACACATCTCCTTTCAACATTCCCCCCTCACCTTAAACCAATGCTCTCTTGTATTTGACATTTCCACCCTGGGAAAAAGACCCCAATTATCCACCCTATCCATGCCTCTCATAATTTTATATACTTCTATTAGGTCACCCCTTAGCCTCTAGCACTTTAACAGATACAATCCAGGTTTATGCAACCTCTCCTTATAGCTAATACACTGTAATCCAGGCAACATCCTGGTAAACCTCTTCTGCACCCTTTCCAAAGCCTCCACATCTTTCCTATAGTGTGGTGACCAGAACTGTACTCTAAATGAGGCCTGACCAAAGTCTTATACAATTGCAACATGACTTTCCAACTTTTATATTCAAAGACCTGACCGATGAAGGCAAACATGCCATATGCCTTCTTTACCACCTTATCCCCTTGTGTTGCCACTTTCAGGGAGCTGTGGACTTGCATTTCAAGGTCCTCCTGTATATCAATGTTCTTCATGGTCCGACCATTTACAGTATACTTCCTTCTTGCACTTGACCTCCCAAAATGCATCACCTCACTCTTGCCTGGATTAAACTCCATCTGCCATTTCTCTTCCCAACTTTCCAGCTGATCTAGATCCTCTTGCATCCTTTAATATCCTTCCTCATTATCCACAACTCCACCAATTTTTAATTCCACCTCCCCTGAATAAAGCCATGCTAACTATCACTAATAAGTCCATTCTTCTCCTATCCCTTAGAATCCTCTGCAATAATTTCCCTACCACTGATGCAAGGCTCACTGGCCTATAATTTCCTGTATTATCCCTGTCGCCGTTCTCGAACAATGGAACAACATTGGCTATTCTCCATTCTTCTGGGACCTCGTCTGTGGCTAAAGAAGATTCAGGGCCTCAGTGATCTCCTCCATCAACTCCTTCAGTATCCTGGGACAGATCCCATCAGGGCCTGGAGACCTATCAACATTAATGTTTTCAAAGACACCTCCTCCTTCTAAATACTGACATGCCCCAGAATATCAACATACCCCTCCCTAATCTTACCACCATCCATGTCCTTTTCCTTGATGAATACCGATGCAAAGGATTCATTAAGGACCTCACCCACTTCTTCTGGCTCCACGTACATATTCCTTCCTTGTGACCTTGAGCGCACCTACCATTCCCCTAGTTACTCTGTTGCTCCTAACATACAGATGAAGTGCCTTGAGATTCTCCTTAATCCTACCTGCCAAGGACATTTCATGCCCCTTCTAGCCCTCCTAACTTCTATTTTTTAAATTCTTTGCTGCTTCCCTTATACTTGTCAAGGACTTTATTTGATTTTTGTTTCATTTCCTGAGCCTTACATATGTTTCCTTTACCTTTTTAACTAAATTTCCAACATCTCTCCCCGTCCAAGGTTCCTGAATCTTGCAATCCTTATCTTGCATCTTCACAAGAACATGCTGGTCCTGAACTCTGGCCAACTAGCTTTTAAAAGAGTCCTGTACATCAGATGGAGATTTACCCTGAATAGCTGCATCCAATCTAATTTCTCCAGTTTCTGCCAAACTCTTTATTCAGTTAAGAGATAAAGGCATTGCCGGCTAGGCAGCATTTATTGCCCATCTTTAATTGCCCATTGAGCATTTAAGAGTCAACCACATTACTGTGGGTCTGGAGTCACATGTCAGCCATATCAGCTAAGGATGGCAGTTTCCTTCCCTAAAGAACATTAGTGAACTAGATGGAATTTTCCTATAATGGACAATGGACTCATGCTTAATACTGTTGTAATTAGCTTTTTTTCCCAATTTAGCACTATCACCTGAGGACCAGATTATCCACTTCCATAACTATCTTAAAACTTACGTAATTATGATCACTGTTCCCAAAATGCTCCCCTAACTGAAACTTCAATCACCTAGCCAGGCTCATTCACAATACAAGGTGTAATACGGCCCCTTCCTTAGTCAGACTACCTACATATTGTTTCGAGAATCCCTCCTGGATGCTCTTAACAAATTCCAACCCATCCATAGCCCCTGGCACTAAGGCCAAATAGCCAATAAATATCTGATAAAAGCAAACTACTGCAGTCTCTGGAAATCTGAAACAAATACAGAGAATGCTAGAGAAACTCAGGCAGCATCTGTGCAGAGAGAAAAGGTATTAATGTTTCGATTCTATTTATAACTCTTCCTCGACTGAAGAGTCCTGCCTGATCTGATGAGTTTTGCCAGTAGTCTCTGTGTTTGCTTGGAATAAATATCTGATTTGCATTCTAAAAGGCAGCTCAGCTCTACCTTCTGAAGGACAATTAATCCTCAGCTTACCACACATACTCCTTGAATATATTTAAAGGATTGCATTCAGAACTCTAACCACATCAAAAATGATGTGATTGAAAAGTAATCTCTTCTCAATAATATATTTCAATGGCTGGTGTGGAACTTAAAACAATTATTAGCTGCTATACATACCGCTTCCAACTTCAGACCTGCAGTTAGTAACTTCATCACAATTACCCAATGCCTGGTAAAACTGAGTCCGGCATCAATCTTCAGCGGCTTTTGCTCGGAGCTCCAACAACACTAATTAATCTCAACACCATCAAAGGCAAAAACAACCCATCCACTAATTTAAATATCGACGAGATGCACTGCAGCAACGCACCAAGACTGTTTCAATAGCAACTTGCAAACACCCGACCACTACCGTCTCGAAGGACAGCTGCAGCAGATACAAGGGAGCACCACGAACTACAACTGTCCCTCACCATCCTGACTTGGAATTAGATCACCATTCCTTCACTTTTGTGGGATCAAAATCCTGGAAGTCCCTTCTCAACAGAACTGTACCTATGCCCAGTGGCCTGCAGTGGTGCAAGGAAGAGGCTGGCCAACAGATATTCATGGTCATTAGGGATGGTCAAGAAGTATTAGCCTTGACAGTGATGCTCACATCCCATGCAAAAAAAAGTCTATTACCATAAATAATAGGATAAGTTCACACTAACAACTTTTGTACCTTCTGAACTTGAAAAATCATCATGATTATATTTTCTTTGCCAGCTTCAAGCGCTTTTACAATAAAGAATGCACAGTACAAAGCCAGAAGATCTCCAAAAGCAACACTTAATGTGTCTTCCTTTTGAAAGCCAATTAAGTAAAAGGATGCCTGCAAGCTGTCTGTAATGGGGGAATATTTCATTTCTAGTGGAAACTTTCTCAGTGGTGCATAGCACAATGCGAGAGGAATGCACATTTGCCTTCAGCCAAGATGAGACTTAGTTTGATGTAGTTACTGGTTCCCCTCCCCAAACACAAACCTGCACCACCTTCCATCAGGTACCTGTCCCGTGCACTTATGACAGAGTCCAGCATCGATTCAAACAACAGAAAATAACCCTGTGTAGAAAATGAGAGGAAAATGATTAATGAGCGATAAATATAAGATCAGAACGACCAATCAGCATAAAAGCAACTAGCCTAAACCCCTAAAAGAAAATAAATATCAGAACATGTGCATTCACCACTGTGAATACTTTAAGTACCCCAAACATCAATATCTTGAAAACATTTTTAAGCACAGATTTTAATAAATGTAATTACTCCATAGGCTTCATTGATGACAAAACCTATCATCAGAACGCTGACAGAATTCCAACGAGTAAAATGCAAGAAGGAGTGACACAAACGCGCATTGTATTCCTGGGATGAAGGTTATGGGGTGATTTAATCCAGACTTTTAGGAGATTAAAGGGAATAAATGGGGAAGATTAAAGTAATTTATTTCCATTAGCTGCAGAGTCACAGGCTTGAGGGGGTGGCATGGCCTGAAAACTGGTGCAAGGTTTCTCAGGACTGAAATTATGAAACACTTGTACACATGTTGGTTGCCAGATGTTTTGAACCATCTTCTGCAAATTGAATTTGACGTGCATTAATTGTTCATTTCAAATCTGAAACTGATAAGAGTTTTGGGAACCAAAACTACCAAGACATAAGGGACGAAGATAAGGATATGGAGTTAGGTCGCTGATGAGCCATAATTGTAATTATTTATTGGATGGACTTGGCCTAAATGGTCCAACACCAGTGCTTGGATACAAGCTGTAACCATGGAGAAATTTATTGCCATTGATCTGCCCACATAGGATGTTGCAAATGTGCAACTTTTCTTTCATCGAGCATCTCAGACAGCATTACTCGAGCATCCTCAAATGAGGTGCATGCACTACATCGCTATAATCACCAGTGCACAATCCACCCTATCTTTTTTAACTGAAAGACAAGTGAAATATCATTCCTGGTGGTCTTCCAGGGCCATCATTTTGCCCCTCAGGAGATTGCAGCTTGAGACAAACCCTCTATGAGGCCCAACTCTTTCCATTTGTAACTGTTCTCCTTTTTTCAGCTAACCAGAGTAAAATAACGTGGAACAGGCCAGAACAGAGAATCAATCTACGTTGATCTTCACTAATCCCTATTTCAATTTATTTTACGTATACAGTGTACATAAAACTATGCAGGTCTTACAAACAAATTTCATTACTTGAATCTACAGACAGCATTGAAAAATACAGGAGTAGATTTTATTTGTCTGGATCATTTGAGTGAATTGCTAACTCGATGGAACCCACTCAATTTGAAATGTTAATTTAGTAATTTCTGGATGATTTTTATATTCATTCATGGGATATTGGGTCAGCATTTATTATGCTAGTTGCCCTTGAGCACTGCCTTCTTGAATCAATGCAACCATGTGCTGTAGATAAACCTACAATGTCCTTAGGGTGGGAATTCCAGAATTTTGACCCAGTGACACTGAAGGAATGACAATATATTTCCAAGTCAGGACAGAGTCTAGCTTGGAGGGAACTATCAGATGATTGTGCTCCCATATATCTTCTGCCCTTGTTCTCGCCCAGGCAGGTGGAGAGTACTCCATCACACTCCTTGTGCCTTGTAGATGGTGGACAGGCTTTGGGAAGTCAGGAAGTAAGTTACTCATCGCAGTATTCTTAGCATCCGACCTGCCCTTGCAGCCACAGAATTTATGTGGCTAATCCAGTTCAGTTTCTGGTCAATGGTAACCCCTAGGATGTTAATAGTGGGGAATTCAATGATTGTAATGCCATTGAATGTCAATGGTCTTGCTGGATATGGTCATTGCCTGGCATTGGTCTAGCTGGCAGAGGATGAGCACTTTCAGAAGACTGGTCAGGAGGTGACGCTGAAAATATAACTCATAATATCTGATTACTTATAAAACAGAAACATTAAAGACTTTTAGGGGTAAACTTTTAAGTGTATGTAAAACCATTACTTGGAAAATGTCAATAAAGTCCTACTTTCTGCAGGGGATACCTTCTCAAACTATGTCTCTGTCAGTAATTTTTGCTAATGCTGATTGCACAAGTGCAATATACAACAGGTGAGCAGTGAGCACATTTAATCTGAGAAACCATGTACAACATTAGATTCACAGCCGGTGAAAGATGATGAAGATTCATGATGTATTAGTACTTGAGTTCTAATGTGGACAGAGCCATGTAGACATTTTAAGCTTGAATTGTATTTCTGTGTGTTTATAAAAAAGGAATAACTTAGTTTCAATTTCTAGTTCTGACAGTGGTGCTGTGGTGTCTAGAAATGTGTTAACGTGCATTTACATAAATTTAGAAAAGAAAATCATTGAGGTGAATAGGTAAATGCTTCAGAAAAAAATATGTCAAAGAGAGGAAATAAATGGTTTAAGATGTCATATGACACAGGGAGCGAGGGATAGAAACATTTTCCCTTTAGAAAGAGAGAATGATCCAGAAGGTTACGTAATATGCAGGTTTCTGTTAGAGAGAAGAGGTCGATAGTGGCAAACAGCTGTAGTTTAGCAATCTCCAAAGCAGCTTGGGTCGAAAAGAGGTTCTGAGTGGTTTAATATAAGTAAGGGTTTATCGAAGATGCAACACTACATCTACAGTCATGCAGAATGATCATGTGAGATACAAATATTTTTACGGTAAATAGATACATAACAAAATAACAGGAACTCAAACAGTGTTTTCTTTTATTTCATAAAGGGATCATAGAATTTTTGAAAAATTTGCTCATGGGAATGTGGGGATCATTACCATTGCCTTGGACAATCAATGCTAACGTGGTGGTGAGCTGCTTTCATGAACTGCTGTAGTCTGTTTGTTAACAAGGGAGTTCCAGGATTTTGACCCAAAAATCTGGATCCAAGTGGGTGGAGGTGCAAATCTAGCCTGATGCCAGTGAATGTCAGACTGGCTTGAAAGGCTGAATGATCAACATTTGTTCCTGTATATTAATCTAAAACCTTTATATACTTCGGTCTGATACAGGTACAATGTCAGGAAATGCAACAGTAGGTGGCAACCAAGTGCATAAAGACCTTTATGATTTGATAAGAAGTCCAAATCCCATTAATAATGTCAGTAGATACAGCATGTATGCTTGTGAATCTCATAGCGGCATTAACAGCATGAGAAGTACCACTCATAATAGTCAAACAATTTCATACATTTGTTCCGTTGGTTGATTCTGAGCACACAAACACCCTTTCAAAGCAAAATTATACCAAAAAATATAAACACACAAATTAAGCTGTTTTGTCCCTGAAGCAGTTTACGTTGTCAGAGGAATTAATCACTTGCACTTGCAGCTTTTAATGATTTTCACACCCGGATCAAAAGGAAAACAATTAACAAACTACAAGATATGTACAGACACCAGTTGTTTGAAATGTCAAAAACTCAATATCCTTCATAATCTCTGAAGGAGATTTTAGATCATTGACTGTACACCGATTGGGATTTTTCTGCCTTGCAAAAATACCACCCCACTCCCTAACCTTATTCCACTTTCAAAGTGTGTTAGAGTGTGTGTGTTAGTGTGAGAGAGACAGAGAGAGAAAGAGAGAGAGAGAGTGTGTGTGAGAAAGAGAGAGAGAGAGAGTGTGTGTGTGTGTGTGTCTGTGGGTATGTGAGTGTGAGAGAGAGAGAGAGTGTGTGTGTGAGAGAGAGAGAGTGTGTGTGTGTGTCTGTGGGTATGTGAGTGTGAGAAAGAGAGAGAGTGTGTGTGAGTGTGTCTGTGGGTATGTGAGTGTGAGAGAGAGAGAGAGTGTGCGTGTGTGAGTGTGTGTGAGAGACAGAGCGAGAGAGAGAGAGAGAGTGTGTGTGTGTGCGTGTGCGTGTTTTGGGGTGTTTGTGTTACCATTCCCTTTTTTCCCAGGTATTTGGTACAGCTTCATTATTTTCCACAAGCCATTGTCCTTTGGCTGACCTATCCCTGCACTGATGTTCCTCCCACAAATGCAACACCAGCACCCACCAGTCCCTTTTCACTATGACAGTGAGTGAGTACTGTCCTTGGTGCTGAATTGTGTAATTTACAATGGATATCTGAACAATCAGCTCCCTGCACTTGTGTGCTGGGCTCATCTGCAGAGTAATTTAGAATGTAATTTCACAGACCACTGCCTCACCTGTAGGGGTGCCATCTGGCTACAGAATTATACCTGTCACAGTCTCCACTATGCTCCATGATGATCTCGGGTCCAGGGTACGTTCTGCTTTGTCAAACAGCACCTTCAGAATTGCACAGCTCATCCTTTTTTTTAAAGCAGTGTACAATTAATATATTCTAACCTTGTGCTTAGAAAAAGCCATTTTAATTTCAACAGTTCAGGGTGATAAAGTTATTAACGTAGTGCTTCGAGTCTAGAATGGTCTACATTTCCATATTTCTCATCAAAGTAAAACAGCATAATGAAGGAATGTGTACAATTTCCTGGAAATGTATTTTCTGCACCACAGATATGAAAATAAAATGTGATCTACTGCAATCTCCTCTGCCCTGCACCACCACCTCCACCAAGCTCTAAAATTCTCTTCACGGTAATAGTGACGCATTGCATAACTTGTTGCAGTTCCATTAATTTCAGAACCCGAGATAGTGGATAAAGCTTCTTATCAATGGGGGAGGAAAAGATGCATTCCAAACACAACCGGGTGGAAGGACATTAGTTCTTCATCTGCTAGGTGCCTTCATCTGCTCTACCTTTGTGCCCTAGCCATGGGATAAAAATAGAGAATTTTCAGCTAGAGCGTGGATTTAAATGTGAATTTAATGCATCATAATACACTACATCTTTTTAAGATCAAACATCAAATCAGAACATTACATGCATAAAACTTTTGCAGTCTAATAACACAAAGCTCAGACACTACATCAGGCAGGTTGAAATTAAGAATTTAGTCTTGTTGAAAAATTACTGTGATTTCTGAGGTGTGATGTATGAGCAGAGTGATGAAAGCTGATGAAAGCTGATGTACTGCAGCAAACGCGTCAGGGGTAATAAGTATGTTGATTGCTTAGTGAAC